GTGCATAGTGTATGATCTAACACTGCTGAAATATTTTAATTATTTAAAAATAGAACAAAGGCAGCTGCTAGTTACTACTGATCAAAATAATTTTATAGATCAGAGTGCCTCTGTTTGTGTTGCAATGCAATAGTTTGACGCAGATAAACATATTGCAACAGTGACATATTACACCATAGACAGGAGACACTTTGATGTAGGAAAGAAATGTTTTAGTAATAAGTACCATCTACCCATAGCTATTCTGATAATTCAGTTTTGGCCTACAGCATTAGACAGAAGCAGCACAAATACCAACGGGACATAAGATACTGTAAATATATCCTTTCCTTGTTAAAGCAAAACTTTCTCCCATGTTTTTGTAGTGTATAATATATTTTATTGGCAACTCAGAAAGTAAGACAGTTCAGGAAAAACATCTTAGAAGATACTGCACACTTCTTTCATATAAGCATGGTTATAACTGGCAGAGGGAACAAACAGGTACCCTTGGCCATATACAGTAATTCTTTAACTAGAAGCAGCACAACAATTCCTTTAGTGCATATTTTTTCTTCTTTATCTCCATTTTGAAAAGAGGAAAGGATTTACAAATATTGACTGAAAAGGAAAATTTTGAAGCTTCTCTTGATGACAGAGAAATCAGGTAAGAAAGTCTGCCTAACTGTACTGGGAGAAAAGAAAATGAGATTTCCTTTTTAATGAGTTTACGTTGTTTAGATCTCAAAGCATGAACGTGGCAAGCAATTTGAAAAGTTACATAGTTCTCAGACTATGAGGACAAAAAGATAGGAATCCTCAGCAGGGTATCCCTAGCTGGAAGGAAAAGCTGAGAAAAAGAAATCAGTTTTAGACAGAAACAGAGTAAAGAGCTGACACTGGACACCACCTCACAAGACTGGGCTCAAGTTCAAATGCAACATGCATAAATAATCTGGTAATTTATCTAAACCCAGAAACCTCAAAGCTAGGTATCAAACCTTTCTTACATCAAGAAACACCCAAAAAGAACTAAGTGACCCTAGCTCTCCTAGCTGAAGAGCACCAAGCCAGCCTGCCAATCAGGCTGAGTTAGCACTCACTCAACATAAGTAATTCAATATTGCAAGACTGAGGATCAGTTAGTTTCTGCTACACTAGCAATCCTTCGGCCTTTCTCTTATTCCACACTTGAAAGCAACACCTCCCCAAAAAAGTCACTTAATCACATGCCCTCTCAAGGCCAAGTGGAGCATGCTTTGAAAAAAGTGACCTGCTTTGGTGACCTTGAAATAAACGCAATCTCCATGGCCTGCAGGACAAAGTCTGACCATACCTCAGATTCAGAGAAGATATGAAGCTTCAACTGCTACAAACAAGATGGCGGATTCTTCCTTTCTCACCCCTGAGCTTTCTCCACTACCTCCACTGAACAATGCAGAGCATGAGTAACTTATACCATAAAATGAGAAGAAAATATCCCAGAACTATTTCAATTTGATCTTCACATCAGAATATTTTATGATTAACCCTCCCGTCCACATTCTAATCTGGAGCCCTTGTTCTATATCCAAGATAATTACTTTTTCTTTCAAGTATCTGCTGGGATGTGAGTGGGCACGTATGCCAAAAGGGGCTATGTTCCAAGCAAACTTTCAAACTTCAGAAAAGCCACCTGCAATATTTTACTAATGAATACATATACAGACAGTACTTCTAAAAATACGCATTTGCTGAAGACTTTGTTGCCATCCGCAGGCTGAAATGATCCCGAAATAGCTGCACTGGCTTTGTAACATGCATTGGAGGCTCCAAGTCCTGTATAGCTTTTCTAGAATTAAATATTCCTGCATTTTCAACATCAGAGGCTTTTGGTACTCATCTTTTCACCCCTTTCATCATTTGAAAGCCACCTCATTATTTTTCTTTTTTTTTAAACATAGGATTTTTGTGGTTGTTTTGCTTTTTATCTACACAAGAAAAAGATGCACAAAACCTGAGAGAATAGTCACAGATGCCAGAGGAAGGGAAGATTTAAAGGGGAAAAAACCTCCCAGTTTACTATGAAAGACAGAGGAGATGAAATGAAGGGAAAGTAGCTCTGAGATTCAGTTAAGTTAATAAGACTCCAGAAAGAGCAGTTGATATTTCACAGAAGAGGCATTCACACAGGAATGTCTATGAGGAACTGAAAAATCAAGTTGAAGTACAGAACCAGTATATTCAAAAAGCTTCAAGTGAAAATAATTGAAGATGTGACAATAACTTAAGAAACAAGCAAAAGCAAGCAGAGTCAATCACTTACTTTTTCAGGGTTATTACAGAGTAAAATGCGCTGCTACTCTAAGGGGGAGAGCCAGAGGAGAGTGGGATAAATAAGAAAAAAGCAAGTGAGTATAGAAGACAAAATTAAGTGAGATCTGAGGAAGGTGCAGTGAAGGAGAGTGGTTGAAATCTTCTGCATCTTTGGTAGAGGAAAAACTGAAAATTGGAGGTACAGGGGAAGAGTCAAGACCAATGTTTGCAGAAAAATAGTTAGGTTTTTATGAGAAGGATTCAGTTAAAATAGTAACATAGATCTGTTTAATACAAAGAAAAACAACACTTCTTGGAAGGGAGAATGAACATGTCCTGAAACAGCCACCCCTACAATATTGCCAGTCATGCTGCATAGTGTGAAAACAGGAGAAAAGTGCACGCTAGGGTCATGCCAAGGCTGGAGGTTAGCAAATGAAGCCCTGTAGTTAGAGGCAGGAGGAAAAGAAAGCAAGACAGGGAATTGACTAGATCAGTAGGAAAAAACCAAACCAAACCAAAACAAAACTAAAAAACAGCTGGGCAGAGACAGAGAGAGATAACAAGTAGAAAACAAGACGTTTAGAAGTAAACTTCTCCAGCAGTTACTGGACTGGCAGCTGGAAAAGAGCTAAGTAATGAGGCAGGGAGGCCAAAACAGGTGAGCAGCACTGAGTGAGAAAATGAGAGTTAGAGCACATCCAGTAAGTGACAGATATGTCTGTGAGAGAAAAAGTAAACAGTCTCAGTGGCAAATAGAAAAGATCAACTCAAATTTTACAAATAATACCCAACTCTTTCATTTTACTTTTTGAGCAGAGGGAAACAGTTCCTACTGCTTTCAAATGTCCATTTAAATTAGTCAGTCTCCTTCATAAATTGATAACCTAGTAGAGATGAAAATATTGTTTGTTTTAGAAAGGATACTTTTCTTGAAAAGCATGAAGCTGCTTAATGAAACCAATAATTTAATTTCTACCTCATGCAATACACTGACATTGAATAGTATTATGACACTCAGGTGCAGCTGAGAAATATGCCACTTGCAACACTTGCATAGACTAGTTCATCTAAGTATTAGAAACTATTCTTAATAGAATGAGCCAACAACACAAAAGAATTAAGTATTTGTACCCAATATTATTTTATGCACTAATATTCTGATTAAAAACTTCCTAAATGGTTATAAAAAGACAATAATAAAAGCATAAGCAAAATTGCAGTTATATGATGTTGAAGTCCTTTTCTAGACTAATACAATTTCTAATTCAGTCTCATTTTTTCCATTCCCAGGTTCATATGGAAATTCAGTCTTTAAAAAACAGTCTCAATCTGTAAATTTAAATAAATATTGATTAAAAAAAAAAAAAACACAACATGAAGTTTTACCTAGATTATAATACGCTTAATAAGATACAATACTTAAAAATCTACTTACTAGCAATTTGGATTTTTTTTTTTAATACCAGCCATATAAAATGTATATCCGGTACAAATCTCAACTTTGTTCAGCTTGGGTTTTTTACAATTTTTAGGTTAACATTTATTTTGGAGGACTCTGATCAGAATAAACATGAGACAGTATCTCTTACCATTTTAGACAGCTAAATAATGATTAAAGACACATAAAGGCTACAACACAGCAAATTTAAAGCTAATAGTGGAAAGCACAGGTTAAAGGAGCTGAGAGTACAGAAGCGTTTGATCTGGTTGTAAAAAAAACCTCTGCACCCAGAAAGATGGTGAAAAAGGCACAAGACCTTAGACCAAGAAAAAAATATTTTTCCACATGTAGTATATAAATGGGAGGGGAGCAAATGAAGTAATAGTGACATCAGAAAAGTATGCATAGAAGCATTAGCATAGGAAATGCCATACATGACTGAATTTCTCTATATCAGTTCCAGAGTCTTGACTTAGTTTGGGAATCTTAGAGTTTGTGAACCCTTTCTAATTCATATACTTCCTTTGTATACGGCTTCAGTTTTTAAAGTCACCAGGAATGCATGTGAGCAAGAATATGTACCTATTTTTAACCTTAACCAATGAAAGATTAAGATGGAGGAGTGTGCAGGTTGATCAGGAATATTTATTTATTGAAATGCTGCCACAACCTTTCATTACTCAGTATCAGCTAAGTATTAGAAATGATTTCATCTCCAATGCTACACCTGGTAGAAAAAACACAGTTTAGTAGCATAAATAATCAAAAGTTTCCCAGCACTTAACAACATTTGACAGCTTTTGCCTTCCCCTAACAATCTGAAATCCAAATTAAGATACTTTTTTAAAAAAGAAATCTGAAACAACTGTGGAGAGTAAGCTTGAAACAGCATTTGTATCAGAAGCCTGCATACTAGATGACAATCCAGAAATAAGAGTAGTATTAACTTTGAATATGATGTTGAACATAACAGTTGGACTCCAGTTGTACTACACATTTTCTGAACTTTGTGATTGCAGCAGGAGACACAACTGTGCCATTTGCTGATAAACAAAACCAGGTTTTGGGAATGGCAGTTAGATAATATTATGATTGTGCACTTATAATAAATGTATACACATTTCACCTTATCTTCCTACAGTAGAGATGATTATCTTAAGATGGGAAAGCAGAAGTTTTACAAAACTGACAACTCATTCATTAGCAAAATGTTTATAGCAGTACTGAAAAGCTGATTTTTGTTTAAACACCAAGCAAGCATGGACATATGAATATTCCTAACCTGTAAAATGATTCCTCCACATTATATCAGCGAAACTCATTGGTGGGCCACTGGGAGGGTAGTGTTTACCTTTCAGAGGCTCATGATCAGTCCTTATCATATCCATTAAGGAATTTTCCAAAGAGTGCAAGTTAAAAGTGTCATAGGGCCTATTCCGGTCCTAGAAGGGAAAAAAAAAAAAAAAAAGAAAAAAAAAAAAAAAAAAAAGGAAAGAAAGACTGTTAAAGAAAAAAATCATTTTCTAACACAGGCTCATTTCTCAATTTATAAAACTCCATCATCCAACTCTACATTTCTTCTTGATAGAGCTTCTTATATTACAAAAAGCTTCATAAATATAAGCCCACAATTGTTAAAATGACGCCCTTCATTTTGAATACTCCTAAAAATATACATACAAAGAATAGATAATTCTAAGCATTATAATTTAAATAAGAACTTCAAAATAAAGTAGTATTAATGTTTAAACTGAATAAGTGAAATTGTTTCAGAGTTCCGAGGTTTTTGTTTTACAGCTTCATTATCTGCCTTCTGTCACAGTGCTACCTTAACATCAGAATAGAAGCAAGCAATGCTCAAAACACCAGCAGGTACAATTGTTCCAGAAAGTACCAAGTAATTCTTCAAATGTCTAACATGAATCTCACAGGTTTAAAGAAAGTACACTAGATGCAAGACAAAACAAAAAGCAAGGTAGGATATGCAACACTCAAAAACCTGAGCAAGGGTTGGTTTGTGTTGTTTGAATCTCTCATTTTTAATTTGCTGTTGTTCAGCCTCTGGTTTATAAGTAAAAGGGAAAACAAAACCAAACCAAACCAAAAAAAAAAAAAAACAACAAACCAACAAAACCAAAAACAAAACAAAACAAAAAACAACAACAATCCACAAACAACCCTTAGCAGGCCTATTAAAATAACCAGTTTCCAAGTTCAGGAACAATCTTCTGGAGGGAACAATGTACCCATGCCCATGTATCTAGAGTACTGAATGCAATGGCACATGTATCTAAACATGAGATACATGTATCGAGAGGATATGGGACAGTACCAGAACTGCCCCTTGTAATCAGAAAGTAAGAAAATTAATGGTTTTTAGAAATTCTCATCACTATCATTAAAGTAAAGCACAACTATGTACAAAATAGAAGGTTTTCTTTGTACACTGTATTATGCTACAATTAATAAAGAGAGGCATATCATGCTACCGTGCAAACCTAAACCTTAATTGTAATATGCCCCCCAAATTCCTGCAACAATGTTTTGTGCATGCTGGCTACTACAAGATAATCTCCTTGCTTGAAAGAATAACATTTAAAATCCTCAGACAAGAGGCAGCAATAACCATAGCAAATATAACAAAAGTTTCATCCTAATAAGTATTATTTCTCTAGAAGTCTCTTTTTAGTAGGTTGTCTTTAAATAAAACTAAAGCAAAAATAAGTTCACTGGTATAATTAAGCTTTCTTTTAATATATCTGTTCTGGAATTCAAATAAATACATGTTATTAAAGGTTTGTTGTTACAGAAAGCTCTGAAATACAGATCTCACTGCCAAAAATCTCATGTTCCCACAGTCTACCTACTCTAAACTGAAGATCCAACTTCCCTTCTCCAACATGCTAATGCTACAGCATTATTTTCTTCACACATTTATTTTACCTATTAGGCATTTTTTGGCAGTCAAACATGATGTCCAAAGAATAATACTTGCTGTTTATTAGAAGCTATACTAAGCACTAAAGTTCAAATGAGCTCACCAATTTCCATTGTTGATGAATTTTATGTCTTCTACAGCTGCTTAGAATGCCAAAATTTGTATACGGTATTTAAAAGAGTACTTGTTCACCTATCCAAGTGGATCAATATATATGGAATATGAGGAAGGAAAGCAAACCCAAAACCCTGAGGTAATTTTTTTTCCTAACAGAAAACTTCATTTTGGTTAAAACAACCCAGTGCTTGGTAATACACAGTAGGAGAGTTTGGTTTATTTCATATTCATTTTCTTATAAAAATGCAAGGCTATACTGAAAAGAAAAAGCAAAACTTGGATGTAAAAAAAATTCTATTCTTGTGATAAATTAGTAACTTGATTAAATAGGATCTATTTTATTCCCTCAAAGCAAAAATTTTAGTTGTCTTTATTTGTTTCTACCTTTTAACTACCTGTATTGTGAATACATTAGGAGGTCAGGTGCTACAGTACTGAACTATGGCACCTTTTTGAAGAGAAAATATGAAAGGAAACATACAGCTCATACCCTAAATAGGGGTGGGAAAGTATTTTTCAGTCAGATCAGTCCCCTGATCTGGTTTACTATACAAGTGTAGCAGAGCTGAGCTAGCAAAACCAATACTGGCAGGAGAGCAAAAGGGCAGGACTGCTGCTTTTGCCACAATTGATAGTTTATTTCAGCTTTAAACATTCCTGAGATTACAGTCTTAGAGGCCAGAAGGCATAAGTTCAGAAGAGGACACAAATTGAATTTAATTGTCCTTTATTAATATACATATGTTATATTTTAAGTATGTTATTATAGCATCAAATCTTTGGGAGGTCCTACTTTGTTTTAAAACTTCCCAAGGATCTGTGCACATGGACACAAGTGGAAAAAGGGAGAAGAAAATTGTAGCATCAAAAGCAAGATTATATAGGGCAGGTTTGCTAGAGTGCAGGATCTTTCTAACCTTTTAAGGGACATACAAACCTGCAATATATTTTTGACATGAAATTAGACCTACATTGAACACCGGCAGATCAATTTGATCAAAACCCTTTACCTAGGCAACTATAACACTTCCCACTATAGTCCTTGAGCAACCTAAATCAAGTAAAGGAAATTTAGACACAACACATTTTTGTGAGTATGTTGTGGTATGTGCATAAGTATAATGCGTGATGACTACAGGGTTTGTAGTGTGGGTGATAAAACTAACAAGGCAGACCTACATTCTAGCTCCTAAGGAAAAAGGCTACTACCATTTTTCTTAGTAGCTTTCATTTCAGTCGTAACTCATTTATACTGAGCAGATTTGAAGATTGTTTCCTAATATTGGCAATTTCTTCCAAGAAGCCTGGTGGTTCTGCACACGCATGCATAGGATGATGTTTCTGTATTTCTCAGCATGAACAGGTTCTCCTGGATTTGTGAACTGGTACTGTTCCGTCTCTGGGATTTTCCTTTTTCACTGTTTCCATAGGTTACTGATCTACTGCCAAACAATCCCAACAATGGAAACAATTCATAAAGATCCTTAGCAGCACATGAGAACTTTGCAGGGAAGTTCTGGAACTAGGCCCATGAATGGATATAAAAATATGAAATACAGAATGACAAAGCAGAATAAAAAACCTGGAAAAGAAGTCTGAAAATCCAGCAAGTCCGGAAAATCTGCTGAGATCTTCCAGAACAAAGATTCTAAAACCCACTCAGATCAACTACATTATGGATAAAAGAGAAATCTCCAGCTAGAAGGCATTGCCTTTGGCTACACAGCAATCATTAAGTTAGCAAAAAATTATTAAGTCCAGCCTGCCCATGTTGGATTTTACTTTCACGGTGTACAGACAGCAGCTCCTTTCTTGGTAGCTCCTAGTATATATGGCAACATATTTCAGTTCTTACAATACCTAGTCTTGAAAAAAAAGAAAAACAATTTAGTAGTAACAACTCTTAAGAGAAGATATGGGTCCCAGAACCTTAAATTCCAGCCCTTGGCTGCTATCTATATGTTCATCCATGACACAGATTTCCTCAAAGTGTATATGTTAAGCATAGCTAAAGTTCACAAATGCATATGCAGGATCAGATTTTTGAAGATTTTTTCACAAAGTGAAATGGACCTTCAGTTGAAGTTAGGTCTCAACTTTCTACCTTTAAATATTTTACTTGTAAGGCTAGTTAAAAACATCACAAAATACAAGGTCTATAATTTGTCTGTTAATTTAAAAAACAAAACCAAACAAACTAACTTTGCCAAAAAATAACTGCAGAGTCAAGACACTAAAATAAAATGAGAAAATAAAATAATTTGCATTTTACCTGCATTTTACACTTCGTACATATGTATTATGTGAGTCTTTAATTAGACAACCATAGTAATTTTTCAGAGGTCTCCAGTCTCCATCCAATATAAATAATGAACCAGCTCCAGGAATGAACCAAAACAGTGTTTTAAAGAGGTCTGTTTATCTCTGGGACAGATGTCTGTGCTGCTTATTCCAGATGACGGAGGTATAATCAGTGTGTCAGCAAATTCCAGGAGGGGAAAAGACATTCTTAAAGTTATCTTAATTATGAAACAAAGATTACTTAACAGTACCTGAAGCATGTAATTGACACGTGTATGTATCATTTGAAATCAAAATAACTTTTTTCCCTTTGTTATACCCTGTAATGTGGTGTGCTTTGTCCTGCCCCCTTCAGACTCAAAACATGGGCATGTAAGGGCAAGGCATACCTAGCACTATTTCAGTTCCCTCCCAATAGATAAATAAACTATGTCTTTTCTGATAAGAGGGAAAGGTAAAGAATGAGAAAAGAATATATGACTACATTATCGATAATAAAGCCATATAGCTAGGGCCATAATAGGTGTGAAGTGGACCTTAATACAGCCTGGCTTCCTCACTACACCTTTCAGCTTGAACAGGTAGCCCAAAGTAATTGAAACTAATGAACTAAAAAAGGAAACTACCAACATACCCCATGGCAGAGACATGAAGAATACGCACCTTGCTCCAAAAACTGAAGCTCTATTTTTTTCTTCTGTCTCTGCAGAGGATTATGGCAGCAGAGACACTTGACCATTAATTGATTAAACTACAGTCACAAAGTGAAATTTTACCCTGAGAAAGCATGTCAGGAATCTAACATTGCCCAAGCCTAGCTATCATCCATACTCAAAATCCTTAACCATGTATTTTCACATGTGTTGAATCCTTGTTGGCAAGGTCATCTGCATCTGTAGTATAAAACACACACTAAACTGAGAGATACCAAAACCTCAGGTACCTACACCCTTCCAAAGATACATTTCCCTGTGTCTATATATTTCAGTCCTTCTCCTAACTGACTTCCAATTAAGCTTACTAGCTTCCTATATTCTGAACAATATCTCAGTTTCAGTAATTTATTTCAGTGTTCTACATTTTCAT